TCTTTTTGCTCGAGTTAAATAACATTCTCGCTCGAAGTTTTAAAAGGAATTTAATGGAATAAGTTCCGAATTATGAATATAGGATATACAACGTAACTATACTTTTTATTAATTTATGTTTAGCATAAAATATTACATTATACCATGTCGCGTGGTATTCGTTAAAATAGTCTAAACACACTTGAGGTGATTCTAGACAATTGGAACAATAGGTCGTAGCAATATTTACAGTTTTCAAACTTTTCCAAGTCTGCTATTCTGTTCTAAGAAGTTTGCCGATAGTAATCCAAAACGATTGCGGAATATTCTGTTGCACGGAAATGGAAAATTAAAAATAGGGTCCGTTGACGATAATGTAACGTTCAGTTTGGCAGTAAATATCGCGAAAAATTCACGCGAATCGCGATGGCCGACGAACGTGTTAAGGGAACAGTGTCTCGCGCGAGGGGGTGGAAAACGCAGGAAGAAAGAGGAGTTCAACTTCGTTACGTACAGGGGGGTACAAACAGGGTTCCGGGGAGGCGACGCGAACTTGTAGCGATAAATCGAACGTTTCCATACTGCAGAAGCGGAACGCGCCTTTCACGGTGTCCTATTTTTAATAATCGTATTAGCCGAGGGAAAGAAACACGTTGACGTCGCGGAAAATGGGTGGTGGGTATACGTGGCAGAGAGAAAAGCGGAGAATCGTGGAATCCGTGTTCTCTCGCGGCCTCGCTGCTTCTTTCTCTGATAGATAAGTCTGCCGTGTACCATCGTCGGAAGAAAGGAATATTCGCGGTCGTAATCGAATCCGGGCACGACGTACTCCCATAGGGGCCACGATTTCTGACCTTTCTCTCCCCCATAATCGCGTTTCGCTAATCTCGTTTGACCCAGGCCGCAACACCGCGCGGAAAAGCCGGGGTTGGCGCGTGTTTCGCCAACGAATTGGGAACAGGGACGAACGTGGCTTGTGTGTCCATCGGCGCCTAGTTAGACGCCGCGCCGACTGCATGACGCATGTGTGTTTGAAATCGTGCCTCGTCGAACAGCCACGACGTCCGCTTTGACGACTTTTGTGTTTGTACCCGCGGTGTGCCCGCTGCCGCATGCTTGCAGTGTGCCGCGATTAACGCGCCATCTGCTCGTAATACCCGAATCTCACGTGCGTACGCACATATTCTCGCTTTCTTCTCGACAGATGTGAAGCGCCGGCAAAGTCTCTACGACGAGGACTCCCTCGATGGCGACCATCCTAGCGAGAACGAAGGTATCACGTTTTCAAGGGCAGTGTCGAGATTAATCTTTTTCTTCCGTTTATCTCGTTTTTCCCGCGCGCCGTCCGCGAGCTTCTCGCGTCGAGTCGAATTTTGCTAAAGAAAAAGCCCGAGACCTCTCGTTATTTCTCGAAGCGAGTATCGTTATCGATTGCAAATAACGGGAGAGGATTCGCTCGCGGTTTTGTCTATTTGTCGAGTCACTCGGACCGTAAACAACGATTTTTATCGTCGAGAACTGTCTGGGAAACGGTTAAACGTCGGCGTGTTTCAAGCAGAACGCGAAGCTCGCACGACGACGAGAAGTAATCGATCCTCGCGGTTGTTCTCAGGACGGGACTCGACGGGAAGCGCGAAAGACGTGGACAGGGCGAAGCTCGTCCGTGAGAGACAGAACGAGGAGCGGCAGCGGAAGTTGGAAGAGCTGAGACAGCAGGCCCTCGCCGCGCAACGCTTCCGGGAGCAACGGGAAGAGGAACGCCGAAAGCGTATCGACGAACTCAGATCGCGTGACAACGACAGGTTTGTGTTTCCCTTCTCTCATTTCTTCTCTTTTTTTTTTTTTTTTTCCTTTTTTTTTTTTTTTTTCCCTTTTTTTTTTTTTTTTTCCCTTTTTTTTTTTTTTTTTCCCTTTTTTTTTTTTTTTTTCCCTTTTTTTTTTTTTTTTTCCCTTTTTTTTTTTTTTTTTCCCTTTTTTTTTTTTTTTTTCCCTTTTTTTTTTTTTTTTTCCCTTTTTTTTTTTTTTTTTCCCTTTTTTTTTTTTTTTTTCCCTTTTTTTTTTTTTTTTTCCCTTTTTTTTTTTTTTTTTCCCTTTTTTTTTTTTTTTTTCCCTTTTTTTTTTTTTTTTTCCCTTTTTTTTTTTTTTTTTCCCTTTTTTTTTTTTTTTTTCCCTTTTTTTTTTTTTTTTTCCCTTTTTTTTTTTTTTTTTCCCTTTTTTTTTTTTTTTTTCCCTTTTTTTTTTTTTTTTTCCCTTTTTTTTTTTTTTTTTCCCTTTTTTTTTTTTTTTTTCCCTTTTTTTTTTTTTTTTTCCCTTTTTTTTTTTTTTTTTCCCTTTTTTTTTTTTTTTTTCCCTTTTTTTTTTTTTTTTTCCCTTTTTTTTTTTTTTTTTCCCTTTTTTTTTTTTTTTTTCCCTTTTTTTTTTTTTTTTTCCCTTTTTTTTTTTTTTTTTCCCTTTTTTTTTTTTTTTTTCCCTTTTTTTTTTTTTTTTTCCCTTTTTTTTTTTTTTTTTCCCTTTTTTTTTTTTTTTTTCCCTTTTTTTTTTTTTTTTTCCCTTTTTTTTTTTTTTTTTCCCTTTTTTTTTTTTTTTTTCCCTTTTTTTTTTTTTTTTTCCCTTTTTTTTTTTTTTTTTCCCTTTTTTTTTTTTTTTTTCCCTTTTTTTTTTTTTTTTTCCCTTTTTTTTTTTTTTTTTCCCTTTTTTTTTTTTTTTTTCCCTTTTTTTTTTTTTTTTTCCCTTTTTTTTTTTTTTTTTCCCTTTTTTTTTTTTTTTTTCCCTTTTTTTTTTTTTTTTTCCCTTTTTTTTTTTTTTTTTCCCTTTTTTTTTTTTTTTTTCCCTTTTTTTTTTTTTTTTTCCCTTTTTTTTTTTTTTTTTCCCTTTTTTTTTTTTTTTTTCCCTTTTTTTTTTTTTTTTTCCCTTTTTTTTTTTTTTTTTCCCTTTTTTTTTTTTTTTTTCCCTTTTTTTTTTTTTTTTTCCCTTTTTTTTTTTTTTTTTCCCTTTTTTTTTTTTTTTTTCCCTTTTTTTTTTTTTTTTTCCCTTTTTTTTTTTTTTTTTCCCTTTTTTTTTTTTTTTTTCCCTTTTTTTTTTTTTTTTTCCCTTTTTTTTTTTTTTTTTCCCTTTTTTTTTTTTTTTTTCCCTTTTTTTTTTTTTTTTTCCCTTTTTTTTTTTTTTTTTCCCTTTTTTTTTTTTTTTTTCCCTTTTTTTTTTTTTTTTTCCCTTTTTTTTTTTTTTTTTCCCTTTTTTTTTTTTTTTTTCCCTTTTTTTTTTTTTTTTTCCCTTTTTTTTTTTTTTTTTCCCTTTTTTTTTTTTTTTTTCCCTTTTTTTTTTTTTTTTTCCCTTTTTTTTTTTTTTTTTCCCTTTTTTTTTTTTTTTTTCCCTTTTTTTTTTTTTTTTTCCCTTTTTTTTTTTTTTTTTCCCTTTTTTTTTTTTTTTTTCCCTTTTTTTTTTTTTTTTTCCCTTTTTTTTTTTTTTTTTCCCTTTTTTTTTTTTTTTTTCCCTTTTTTTTTTTTTTTTTCCCTTTTTTTTTTTTTTTTTCCCTTTTTTTTTTTTTTTTTCCCTTTTTTTTTTTTTTTTTCCCTTTTTTTTTTTTTTTTTCCCTTTTTTTTTTTTTTTTTCCCTTTTTTTTTTTTTTTTTCCCTTTTTTTTTTTTTTTTTCCCTTTTTTTTTTTTTTTTAATTTATACTACTCGTGACCAGATCCACCGGTTTTGATTTCGAATGCGATTCGGTTTCAGCTACGAACGCGTCGATCTCCTTCGATTATCGATTTCCTTCTTTCTTCTCGATTTTTCTTTTTTTTCCCCCACCCCTTTTTTTCTTTGCTACCACATCATGTTCTTTTGCCAACATAATTTCTCTTCATGTACACACACGAGAAGCACCTCATCTTCGCCCGCTGACTTCTCTGTAATCCGAACACGTTATTACGAAATACAAGTGTCAAGAGTACATATATATATAGAGAGAGAGAGGGAGAGAAAGAGAGAGCCAGTAGCGTGAATATATGCCCGAGTAAATGTAATTTCGCTAGAGTCGTAACATTGACCGGAGAGAGAGAGAGAGATTTCCTTTCGTTCGGTAATTAAGACCTTTGCATCCGCTCTATTTATCTCTGTACTTACTCTGGTGGTGGCTCTGTCAGGTAAATTGTACTCTAATTTCGAAGTACCTGTGAATCGCACTATATCTAACTCATGCTAATTCTCCCCCACTCCCTTTGTTTGTCTGCCGAACGACCCCACCGCCGCCCGTCCCCCAGAGAAAATCAAAAAGACGAAAAGAAAAAAAAAAAAAAAAAGAGAAAAGAAAACCAAACGGAAAGAAGAAAAGAAGAGAATTCGATTGGATAGTGCCTAATGTTGCAGCGTTCAATGGTTTGTTTGCAGATATGAGAATGTCCTCGTCCATGTACGAGGTGTTCAATTGGAATTCTAGCCCTGATCCTCCCTTAACCCCTGCCAAACATAAGAGAGCCAGCCTCTCTCTGCCTCCTACAACTGACATCTTTGCCATCGATGATAAGTCTGATAGCGACACTAGGCGTCCGATGATTCAGCGGGCTGCCAGTGGTGAGTCCTGTTATATGTATATATATATGTGTGTGTATATATATATGTGTGTGTGTATATATATATATATATATCTTTATCTCTGGTTCATTAGCACATCGGAATATTCTCTTGCAAGCATGTCACTTTCATTTAACGCCATAAAATCGTATCTGTACACCATTCGCGGATATCGTGGAACACCGATGATTCGATTGCCATACATGGTTAACGTTGGTTGACGACAACGCACAGTTTGAACAGCGAAACGAAGTAGATGGAAATAAACGAGGATCGGTGTTGAACGATGTGTACCGTTAATTAGTCATGTGCATCCTAACGCTATTCAAAGTTTTATGCTAACAATACTAACATCTACATACATTTCGATGGGTTATTTACTAACCGTTTTAGATTAACGTTGTCGCATTAGAAGCTGAATACTGTTCTTCCTGCTGTCAGTAGCCGATACCTTTCGCCTCGGTGCGTGATAGAGTCTCACGAAAATGAAAACGAGTAACGAGAAGCTGAGGTGCCTCAATTGTCCAACTTTGTACGAGACTTTGCTCTGTCCTCACATACACTCATATCATTCATGAACCGATTACATCGTTACATACACGCCTCGAGTCGAATTTCAATTTAATCGTCGATCGTAACGCATCCTTTTTTCTTTTCACGAACGTCTCGACGTTGATTATTCGTAAAAGAGAAGGTTTCACACGATGAAACGAACGGTGGACCCGGGGTTTACGAGATTCTTTCAGACGCTTACTTTTTTCGCAACAGCTTCTTTCATTTCTCACTCGATATACATATATACAAGACACGTTCTTTGTATCGTTGTGCATGTATGGGTTTTCTATCGCTTTATCGGATATATCGTTTGCATGTACCGCGTTCCGTTTAGACCGCTTCCGTAACGTCGTTCGTATACACGTTCCCAGTTTCGCATTGTTCCCTGTGATTACCGTAATATCCTTGTGTCGCGATGTATCAGTTCGCCCGTTCGTCTCGGGGCGGCAGCACCGTGTAGCCTAAGATTCCGGTAGCCATTTCTGGTAGCGTTATCGAATGACGTCCGAGCTGTACACGCACGAAACTCCTTCCTGTAGCTTTGCACTTGTATACACACGAAGACACACGCAGCATGAAGAACGGCGACCAATCGAGAGTACATCGGTAGTAGTCGAAAAGGGAATGCCAAAGGTACACGCGCACGTATATACAGCTACACTCGCGCGACACACGTTACACGATACACGCGTACACACACGCGCATACGTACTACACGCGTACGCTCGGTCCATGGAAAATGGAACGAGCATTTTATATTGCGATGTTCAAAGGATATACGCGCGCCTTGTACACCTTGTTAGAAAATTGTATAGCGTGCAGTTCCGGTGGTCGCTTCTCGCGCTTCGCTTCTAAGGGAAACTCCATTGCAGGTGAAGAAAGCGACGGAACACCGGGAACCCCTAGCTCGGTTTATCTGCGGGTGAACAGGAGACGCACCGATCTGATGCCAACGATACCGTCGCCGCGTGATGGACCGCCATCATCGGGGCGTAGTTCGAGCGCTAAGGCCTTCACACGTTCGCCAGGTAGGACTTACTCCATGTCCAGGCTGGACCAGCTGGCGCAGCCTAGGAAACGTCCGACAGAACTTAGCACATTGACGGAACAGCAAAGCCAGCCTCTGAGCGCTTCTAGCATGAGTCGCAGCATGTCACATTTAGCTGCGTCCGGAGGCAAGAGCCTCAAACGCTCAGATAACTCTCGTAGCATGGGTACATTGCCAGGCGCGGTCCCGATGCCGAGACCAACGAGGGCCGAGAGACTGCGTCGCAAAGCTCGCGAGCATCAGAACCAACAGCAGCAAGGTAAGATCGTTCTTGTGCACTCAACTCGGTCCATCCTACACTTAAACATCGCACTCGGTCAATCGGTACATCGCCGCGTTTCTCGCAGAGATCACCGGAGTGTGTAAATACGACCAGGGGAACATGGCTCGTCATCGATCCACACCGTTCTATCGCTTTCTTCCTCTAGTTACACGCGTGGTACACGTACATACACACGTATAACACACAGCATACGCGCGATCAGCGAAGATTCGCTTCGTACTAATCGTCGTCGTTTGCTCGCGAGACGCGCGCGAGTTTTAAGGTCCGCGCGTATGAATCTCTGGCTGGCGTGGAAACATACGTCACGGGGTGATCCGCTCGCACTCTCGGCGTTCTATATAACTCGAGTTGGGTGCACATGTGCATGCGTACGAATGCAGTGAGGAGCCATTGTGAATCAATAAGACAGAAAATCCTTGTATACTCCCCGGATACTTTTCGTACGATTTCGCGAGACTACGGATAGTGACTCACGCTTATAAACGCTTGCGTATTCGAGCAGAGACTAACAAACGATCCTCGAAGCGTCTCGCGCTTCGAGTTTTTCTTTAACCAGCGACTCTGTGTTGCCTCCTATTTTTATATTCACTTAACAAACGGTTCACCCGCGTCTGCATGGAATTCTCTTTTGTGTTAATTATCGTAAAACACCGAATTGATTAACAAAACTGCTCCTGCTATAAGAAAACCTCAGACCTCAGATCTCACCGGCTTTCGGGACCAGGGGTGAAGGTACGCTCTAACGTTTCTGGTAAGCTACACAAATTTTGTTTATATGTATATACCTACATATATATAAATCTCATCACGTACACACACGTTTTACGCACAATACTAGACTGTGTACAGACGAACCGCAATCGTATTTAGTGTGCAATACATTTATCGCTCCACTTTCGTTCTTTGATTCTTTTCTTTCTTGCTACGTTTACGAGGTCTCATATGATTCTTATTATTATTTTTTTTTTTTTCGTTTCCCCCCTCGTTAACCGTTTACTCTCTTTACTTGTCCTTTTTTACACTTGTTTCAGCCTCATATATTTTTTTTTCTCTCAGTTACATTCTCGATGTACATACGTCTCACATGCGACACGATCGATAGTAATTTTTTTTTTTTTTGGTGGCGGTGCTTGTTTTCTATTTAATTTCGCTACTTATGTATCTCTTAATATCCACGTCTACTCCGATCAGCAAAAGCGAGAACCTACCCTTCCCGACGAAACGGGAGATATCGCGAATGAAACGAAAGAACGGAGAATGAAAAAGGAAAGGAAAGCGGAGAAATGAAACGATGGAAGGGAAAGAAAAAAGAAAGAGAAAAATTCCGATTTAGCTAGTCGAGAGATGACGGATAATGGCGTCGGCGTGCCGCGCGCCGGCGCGATCCGACGCGGCGGATCTAACGCGCGACGATCTAACGAGTCTCTAACGTAACGGCAGAGAGCGAAAGAGAAAGAAAGGAAAAGACGACGACGACGACCCTCTGAAATGCCGCGGCACCGCGACGCGCTGCTGCCGCGCATTTCACGGCGAATCTCATTTGTTTAATGTTTTAACGCGCGACAAACACAATGCATAAAACACGTAAATCAAGAGATGTTCACCTTGGGTGGGTACGCGTAGGCATCCGCAGCGGGGAGGTGACACCCAACAGCCCATCACGACCGCACAGCTCCATGAGTCAGCAAAGCGCCAGCAGTGTGGGCAGCAGTAACGTCAATCTGCGTCCCCGTACAGCTGCCCCGCGTCGACCGCGACCTGCTTCTATTGCCGGTACCGGTGTTTCGGTCACAGAACGACACAGTGAGCATGCCTTTTTCAATACTCTCTTGTTATTAAAAACGTGTACACACGAAGGGACCGCGCGCGGGCTCACGCCGAGTGGCTCGTTTCGCACGGCAACATGCGGAACCATTCGACGAGAAGGATGATCCTTCTTCTGGCCCGTGATACTTGGACCCGGACTTTGTTTGCCGACACTTTGCCCGCGACTCGTTTTCTTTCGAATTTTTTTCATTTGTCTTTTTTTTCTCCTATTTTTTTTTTTTCTTTTTTTTTAGCCTTCTTTTTGTCGTCTCTCTTTTTTCTCCCGTTTTAATTCGCGAACATGTCAGTTCGTCGAATTTCGTAATTTGCGCTTTGTTATAAATTTTCCTTGACAGTGTCGAGCGAAATACTTTTTTCCATCAGTTACACGTTTTTTTTTATATTTATCTTCGTTGTTTTATCTTTTTTTCTGTTTTTTTTTCTGATTAGTTCTCCTTCCTCTCTTGATACGATTGTAGAGATTGCACATTTAAATACCGCGTGTACGTAGACACACGACGCGTAGCGCCGCAGCAACGAGTGACGAATTTGTGCGATGTACAGATCTACTGAGCGAAACGAAGTCGACGAAGGATTCGAAGCCGCCACTGCCAAAGGTCCATAGCACTCCAAAGAAATCGTCTACGCCGAAAGCGACGGAGATCAAGAAGCCGACGGAGAAGCTGGTGAAGAACGCGAAGGCTTCGCCGCGGATAACCCCGAAAGCGACGCCGTTGCAGAGTCCCGGCGTTGAGAATGTTCCGTTGATCCGCGGCAGCACCGGGGAGATAATAAAATCGGACGGCAAGGAGGACCCGAAGTTGGAGGACAAGCACGAGGAGAAGAAAGACCAGGGCACCGAGAAGACGCAGGTAATTAATTTTCATTGACGAACGAAATTCGAGGCGATGATTACAGTCCGATCACCGATCCGCGTTGCACTCGCTTGATTGATCGCAGCAAGAAATAAACGCCGCGGAGCAGGGTAGCGAAGACGCGAAGAAGCCGGCCATTATCGAACAGCCGAGTATCGTGACCAAGCAGGCGAAGGACGAGTCTAATTTGAACCAGGAGAACCAGTCGGCTGTACGGTCTCAGGAAGCGCCCAAGTCCCCGAAGAAGGAAGCCGAGGCAAAGCCGGAGAACATCGCGGAGGAACCGGTGGACATGTCAGGTAAGCTGGACATCTCGGGTATGAGGGATATCGGGATACGAATTGGGAAATTGACCAATGGTTTTTGCAGCCTCGATGATAGCCAAGATCCGGATCACCACGGAAGAGGAGGCTAAGGCAGCTATAGCCGAGCGCAGAAGATTAGCCAGGGAACAGGCTGAACGGGAGGCCGAACTTGAACGCCAACGACAGGTACGCTGGTTTTCAGATAGCCTCTCTGTGTAGGAAAGATTTGCATTGTTCGCGAGGAGAAGAGATTTCGTAAAGATATGGTTTTGCAGGAAGAGGAAGCCCGTTTAGAGGCTGAGAGATTGCGCATCGAGGAAGAGGAGCAACGCCGCTTGGAAGAGGAAACGCTGCGTTTGGCCGATGCAGCTCGAGAAGCCGAAGAACAGAGACTGAGACTGGCGATCGAGGAAGCGAAACGTCGCGAGGAGGAGGATAGGAGAAAAAGGGAGGAGGAGGCTCGTCAGAAACTAGAGAAAGAAGAGGCCGAGCGAAAAGCGAGAGAAGAAGCGGAAAGGTTAACCGATATTTTCTCTGAGACCCGGCGTTATTGTTCCGTCACTGTTCTCCTGGTTCCTTTAACGACACGGTATGCGATATTCCTGTTACAGACAATGGATCGAAATGGCGGAGCGTCTTAAAAAGGAAGAGGAAGAGAGACTTGCTAGACGTAAGCGCGTCGAGGCGATTATGCTTAGAACTCGGGGCAAAAATCAGAATAACACACCGACAAAGGTAAAGTCGCGCGTTCGTCAGTCATAGTTAATTCTGTGTATGCTCGTCGATTGACCGTTTGCTCGCGAAAGAAATGTTCACGTTGGTGTTTACGTAATTCGCAGGGTGAAAGTGGCGAAGGCGATAAGTTGAAAGAAGACAGTCCTAACGATGAAAATAAAACAGCACCAGGTAGTAAAAGCGAAGATGTAATGACAGCCAGTCTGATATCCGAAGCGACTCAACAATTCATTAGCGGAGAGCAGCGAGCTCATCATACGGAAAACAATACTACTACGGACATTGTGCATAATGGCACGCATAGTAACGGCATTAATGAAAGTAAAATTGTATTGGATAATAATCAGGGTAATGTGGAAGGAGAACTGAATGGTCATCATACAAATCACGGAAACGGTATCAACAGTCAATCAATTACACTGGATAATGCCACCGTGTAAGTATATCAAATTCAACGTTACAGATTTGTAACGAACATTTATATTAACGTAAGAGTTACATACTGACACTTACCGACCGTCATTAAAACAAATCCAAGATATAACTGGATTTCACATCGATAACAAAAACCGAAAGATAACATCGAAGAGCATCTCAAAGAATTGTAAGTTCATTTTGGTTTCGACAATAATATTATGAATGCCCGTGCAAGGCTTATATCAGACTAGCGTTATCGAACACTGTTAAACCTCCTTACACATGTATACACACCCCACGCAGTAGGGACTTTCATAACACTTTACTAGAATATTTATTTCGTTTCTCTCTTTCTTTCGGGACGTATCCGTCGTCGTATATAGAGTAAGAGATATTTTTTCAAGAACGAAATAATTTTTTTAACCCAAAAAGAATAAATAGGAAACGTTTTAGAGCATTGTTTCTACTAAATACATATTTTATCTAGAACTCTGCGAATACGAGTAGTAGAAATATCGCGATACGAGTACGAGGTCGTATATCTGCTAAAATCGATTGTAGTTCCATTCGAGAGCAAAATTATGGCTAATAATGTAATTAATATAATACGAGTAATTGCACAATACTAGCCATTATATACGTAAAAATGCCGACTGATTTTTAGTGACGTTCATAAATGTACATGAACGTGTCCGTCGTATAAAATATAATTTAAAAATGACATTAAAATGTGTATTGCAACTATGATAAAAAGAAAAAAACGAACAAAAAATGAACGAAAATATAAGGAATCCGAAACAGAGTGTACATTACGTGTAATAACTACAGTGTCACGAATGTACGTACCAGTAGTAACGTAGAAAAACACGCGAGGGGAATCTTATTCGTAATTATTTAAAAAGTGAATGTACTCTCGAATTTTGATTTAATTCAGATATAAAATACTTTGTATCTCGAATGATTCAAAGTTGCGCTCTAGTCATTTATGCGATGAAGGTTGTTTATAGATTTACAATAAACTAATAGACACGCACATGCTATGTGATCTATAAATAACAACTTTTGAAGTTTGTAGCAATTAATCTATTTCCAAATTATTATCTATAATATTGCTTTTTATCTACATTTAATCCTGCGTCATCGTTGCCACGGTTTTAGTACTATTATTTTATATCGTAATTCTCGCTTTTTCCAATAGAGATAAAACAATGAGTGAAATGGCTAGAGTGTGAACATTGTTTTTTAAAGGGACATATAATAGAAAGAAAAAGATGTGCCACATTAAATATGCACGTAATAGGCATAATATATGATCTGAATTAAAACGAAAACAAAAAAAAAGAAACAAAAAAAAAAAAATTAAGAAAAAGGAAGAGAATAAAATATAGTGAAGTACTGTTGCTTGATTGCTAAGGAAAAACAATTAAGAAAGATGTTAAAATTTATAATCCTATATATTTATTCCAAAATATAAAAGCACGTGGTACGTTGAGAAGTAATCGTTAATATGTATATAATGAATTTTGTTGTTTGAGATGTTTTTTGTGGTATTCGTATGATAACGGAAAATTAAATTTGAGAATATATTTACGCTATATGTACACTATACATAGTTATTTAAATAACAAAATTTATTGCGCTTTTCCATGAGTCATGTCAGATGGAATCGCTTATAAAATTCCATTTAGCTCGGTAAAAAAATGCTTTATAATAAACTCATTATAATAATCATTATAATGCAAACGATTTTACATATATTGTACATTGCAAAAGTAGTCAGAGCAATGGTTGACAAATATAAGAGAAAAGAAATTTATGGCAATTGAAAATTCACCTAATCGCACGATTATACCAATAACTAATAAAGTATATGGGACGTTACGATATCATACTAGTTAAAAATATACTATTTTTAGGTAGACGTCTAAAGAAATAATGAGAAATTTAACTTATATTGTACGCCGATTCTTTTTAGTAATACGTTTAATGGCATAAAACATGTAATGTTATACGAAGCATGGAAATGTTAAACTAACAGAGCTATAGCGTTAAATACCATCTAATCAATAATAAATTCAGTGTACATAATGTAAAGAAAGATAAATAGCATAAATTTAATGACTCATCTAAAAATTTTGTTTGTAATTTTATCACGTAAGCTTATCAAAGATACACTGTGCCAGATGTTATTACTTTTTTATACAACTTTATAGCAGTATACAGTGTGTGTGTGTGTCATCTTTGATGAGCTATTACTTTATCTTTCCTCCAATTAGTTTACCACTCAAGCTCGACGTGTATGCCTTAAGTACAATGTTCATATTAACGTTTCTTCTTGCCGATTTTATTACCATCAATGCATGTTGTGAATTAATTGTATCAATATGGTGTGGCTTCTACTTTTCTTTGCTCTACTTTGTACATGTTCTTTATGTTTGTGTTGTATATCATCCAGCAGTACGTGTCAACTTACTGTCTACTTTTGCTATGTACTATCGACCTTCACACATTTTGAAATTATTCTTTTGTTGTATAAATGAATATGTTTCACACAATCCATTCCACAGTTCCTATAGGAAGTTACCTATGCCAAAAAATTGTAGCATGAATATTTTCAAACGTATTCTATCTACATACGAATGAAGGGAAATCGAAAATAGGAAACCACGCGGATCGAAATAATCGCAAACGATCAGAAATGTGAAACCTGCTGTATGGTAGTATTATATATATCTACATCTACTAATTTTATCAGAAAAGGAAATTCTTTTATATGTTAATTGTGTTTCATACAATTTACGTTATGCCATAGAATTTTGTATAAGTTCGGAAGCAATACAAATGCTTTTTCTAGCTGCTTCGCAGTATCAAAGTAGCTGCCTTTCAGAATATCATTAGTCAGGAAAATAGTGCTGATGCGAGATTAAATATCGTTACTGTGATCGAGTCGATTGTAAGATAAGTTTTCAGGATAATCGTTCGTTGCCGAGGAACTCTTTGTAATTATAATTTCATATATGATGGACGATTTGAAGACTTTCAGCCAACGGTACATAGCTGTTAACTCTTTATTTCCTCTGTTATCAGTTGACATTCCTTAGACACACTAGATACTTTAACTATAGATTTTAAATTAAGAAATGGAAAATAGTTACTAACAAACGATTGTATGAGTATTGTACATATTAACTCTAGTAAGATAGTATTCGGTATATGAATTTTCTGCAATTGGCTTAACCAATTTAGTAACCGTAATTTCATCTTAAAAATTACAATGCGCTGATGCAGTAGTACCTAGTGTTAATCGCCTATTATTTAGTATTTGTATGTTTCCTTTCGCTGATTTTATAGCAAACAAAACAACGTGACCAACAACCTGTTAGACCTAACGGAATTCGACTCTCTCAGTAATAGCAGTAGTGGTCCAATACTCGAACTGACATCCAATTTGGCTAACGAAGACACCCTCAACTCGAACCTAAATCCAGCAGCTATACCTTTCACTCCAATGGCCAACACGTACATGCCTACCGCTGCTAATGCAAACGTAAATCCGTTCCAGGATTCATTTATCAACAACAAACCACAAGATAATAGTCAAGTACCAGGTACGTGCGCGTATTGCTATCGCAATACTGAGATATGATGTACGATGTGAATGTAATACCACTTGTTCTTGATCTGCAGATCTTTTATCATAATGCGCGCGTATTAAACATTCTGGTGAAAGGAAGAAGGACGATTGGATTGAGAAATACCTTGGTTGCTTTACAGCGAGCAATAGGTACAATATTCGAGATGATGTCATTTATGAGATAATGTAAATAAGCGCTATCGATGTGTAGAAATGGAGACCTAAGTAGAGAACGGGGGCACTACGTCAAAAGAAAAGAAAGACTACTTTGTCCTTAAACGTCACGGGAAATGTAAAATAATATATAATGTTAATTAATAATATTATGTAACAGCAAATAGACACTCAGTCCGTTATAGTATGCTATTAGATATAAATCTAATCTTTTAGAGGACCTTTGAAGGGAATAAGGCCTGTTTATAACCTATTGATTTGAAATACGCGTATATATTTTATTGTATTAAATTTCATTAAATTAATTTCACACGTAATTCTCGCCCATACTGTAACGTATATCGCGGTCAGAAAGATTTATTCGAGGATTTCAATGAAACGAGATTTTATCGAACTTGACGATGCGAATAATCGGTACAATGAAATCTTTATGCGTAAACGAACGTGTAAAACGGCTTGACAAACATAGCACAAGATGGTGAATTGGTTGAAATATTGTATGAAACTTATATCTGCCAAAATGACGTAGGAGGTAAGCTCCAATGATTGTCCTTACATAAGAGATAGTATAATATTACCTTATAGAATTTGAGTATAGAAAACGAATATATGTATAATCATACCTAGTAAGATTTTCTGCAGATATGATGTAAAAAAAAAAAAAAGGAACACATTTCTTCCATACTACATTTTGGGGCGTGCGCTCACTAGTCAAGCAATTTTACTGTTTTTATCATATTCTTCTTTTTTTTTCTCTTTACTATTATTACTTTTGTTTTCTTTTTTGTTCTCTCTCTCTTTATCTCTCTCTCCCTCTCTCTCTCTCTCTCTCTCTCTATCTATCTATCTCTCTGTTTTTTAATTAGAAAACTCACCTAATATTGGTACTTTAGGTATCCACTAGATTTCATTATTGTTACGTTTTCGCGAATCTAACATAAATTTTCTAGCTGTGATGATGACGACGATGACGAAGACGACGATTGCTTTGTGAAATAGCCACTGCATTACGTTTACGAAATAAGAAACCGATAGCTACGTTACTTTGTAAATGATGTTTCACTAGCTATGATAGAGTGCGAAATGCAAGTGTACGATTACACGTTTCAGTAAAAAGTAACGCATTAACATAATTGTAATGGAAATTTTAGCGAGAAATGTCAGATTCGCCAAATATTTTGTGAAAATTGTACGAGCAAAATTTGTCAGGGTCACGTTGCGTTATCCATTATGGTAGTGGCTATTCATTCTAGTGGTATCATACTAGTATACAGATAGAAAATGATAATTTTAAAGCCTGATGTTATCGAGCAAACATATTGTAATTGGTGTCTAAGACATGAATTATTTGTTACTATTGTGGCATACTATTATAAAATCAATATCATTAGCATGCTTTGTGTTTCAACACTGCGCAACCGCAGATGGATATTGTCTGATCTACGAGGTTGTTTATACAAAGGGTAATAAAGTATAAATTCTACCTAATTGATTTTCAAGTAGCAGAAATGAAGGAAAAAGAAAAAAAAACACATATATATATATACATAGAAAAGTCATCGACATGCCTGAAACGATATCATCGATCTATACAAACTTCATGTACTGTTTGTTTCCTCTTTTTTTCCTTTTTTATTTTTTTTTTTTTTTTTTTTTTTTTTTTTTTTTTTTGGTTTTTTTATAATCTTTTCATGTTTGTGCTACGTACAATATTAGGAGTTCTCTTAAATTCTTTCCGCATATATTCTATTTGCGATCGATTTAAAAGAATTTCACGCTGCATGCTTGCTACCGGTTCTTTTCCTCGAAATTGTTTAATTTAAGGACTTCGAGCACATATATGTATGTAATGCCGCAGTGTTTTGTATCCCAAAATGATTTCTATTACGCAAAACCTAAGAATTAATATTTTAATGACAAAGAAGAAAAAGGTTAAAAAAAAAAAAAAAGATATGTATTTTTATCGAGAAAGTGGTAGCACACTGCTGTACAGAAGCATACGATCCTAAGAGACACTTTAATTGCCTAAGCTTCTTAAGCGCGTAGTTACGATACCGTGAGGGGAATTCGAATCAGTTTTACGTATCACAACTCGATACTCCACGACGATTATTTTTAACCATGAAACTATGTCGTTGCTTTCCGAGACAGAATTATGCAATGGCTATATATCGAGTTTATTTATTCAAACTATTCTATTCGGTCTAACTAAAACTATTCTATAAGGACACGTAATAATAATAACTATAATAATAATAATAACAATAATAATAATCCCAATACATACGAACAAATGTTTCTAAACATACGAATACTGAGAATGCTAAATATCATCAGTCATGTCTAAAAATACTTCGTATTGTATAAATGCTTGTATGTAATAAATACTTAATATTGAAAATAAAAAGAGACATTATTTAATAAATCGTGATTTGCCGCTTCGTCGCGTTTGCACCACGCACGTAGGTGTTACAATGGCCGCCGTAAAGCAGCTCGAAAGACGAGAGACACGATCGTGCCCCCGGTGGATTCGCGGGGGTACCCCTTTCTTCGCGTCGTAATTCGCCCTTAAGGCTGCGCAAAACGCCCTTAAAGTTACACGAGCGTCGTTGCGTGTTTTTCCATTCATTGCCGCGAAAATATGTACAACATCTGTTCTCGTTTCCGAGCATAAGAAGCAGGCTATATCCGCGATGCAACGCGCGTTGAAAGCAACAGGGTATAAAATATGGAACACCTACGGGTATACATAGCGGATGTGGTTCATCCCTGGGGTGTCACACTCGTAAAAAATAATGTCCTCTTCTGTGGAAATTTTCCCTGCGTTCTCCCCCGTGTGCCACCTCGTCCGCAGTCCGTTTGACGAATACCGTCGTTTCACGTGGAGCATACGTCGTGCAATGGTATCCATAGGAATACCATCTTTCACCCAAACTCGCTACCTCTCTATCATCCTTTTCTCTCTATTTTCTCCTGTTTTCCTCTTTTCTTTCTATTACTCGCATCTGCCCCCGAACCATTGTGCCTCGGCACACCTTTACGGTTCTCCATTCGGTTATCTACACCCCCCATCTTCCTTATTCCCAATTTACCCCCGAATATCGAAATGTCAAAGATATTTCTTCCAATTTTAGAACTCCAGCAGATGTTTCTTGCCTCTCGCGAGCGGCCAAAAGTTTTCACGCCGGGATGGAAGAGAGAAGAAAAATTTACGTCGAAATTAACACTAGAACTACCGATCTTTAATGGGTATCTAACTATATCGTGCACAGATTACAGTAATTTTGAGCGGTACGACGAATACGAGCGAATATATTGATTACAGTTCTTTCTTAACACGTTGACTGCCATGGGGGTCACCGATGACCGGCGACGCGACCATTAGTAAAAATACATAATTAGAGTAAATATCGATACTGATAAATTTTTAAATAATACCACCGTTACTCTAATAGTTCGAAGAAATTAATGTCATACAGAACATTCAAAAATAATTTTATTTATACAAAGAAAAGGTGAACCAAAACAGTCGGCACAATATGTCGCTACTTTTTTAGTGCAATTCTTTGCTCTCATTCTTCCTAGCTGGTTTGAATTATTTTCATAGCACACTTTCCAAAATCGCCTTACATTTCGCACACTTCCAGGTTTCTTTTCAAACTCGTGACGACGTTTCTTCTGTACGTAATTGCTCGATGAAATGCAATCTTCGTCAACAGAACATTTCACTAAATACATGGCTAATTTCATCCTAAAATCGAGAATTGAAATATTTTTTCGAGTCGCTTTTTAAACAATCGATAATGGCAAAAATGGTCTAGAGCGCCGCGGGGGTCACCGGTGACCCCCACCACGGAAAATACATTAAACGCGATTATACAATTCACCTTATCTGTTGTAAATAATATTTCAACGTAATATGCATGGCATAATAAAATATTCACGTTGGCGCCATGGGCAAACCACGTAAAATGCGCGTGGCAGTCAACGTGTTAATACGAGTTGATACCAATTTTATTCTCAAAGCAGGTGTACGTGTTCGGTGATTGCAGAACGGAAAATTCTGGGACCAGTCATTTTGACTGGGTTGGTAGCTGTAATGTGAAAGTGCTATTACGCGTAATCGCTTAAGGGATGCGGCAAAGTTTCGCGCGTAATTTCACGCTGCTCCGCGAAGATAAGGTAAGTAAAAGTCGGTTTAAACGCGATTTTTCTTTGCGCCGCGACGTTCTGCGAGACCACCGGGCCTACGAAATCGTTCGGTGCTCTGCTCGGTGTAAATTAATTAACGGAACAACGTAATATCGCGAGCCTTCCTCTGTGCGGCGTTATTAAGAGCGAAAAGGCGAAAAGGATCGCCGGCGGAAAATGAGGATTCGCGCGCGTTTTCCAGCGGGCGCATAATTCCGGAAAATTAAACCGCAGCGCGAGATTACACGGAAAACTTTCCGCCTCCTTCGCAACGTAATTTTTGCCCAACGACTACGTTTCCCTGCCTGTGGCTCTGCCTTAAACACGACCCTGCAGCGTTTCGCGGAAACTCGATTCCTCGTGGTTTTTCACGGGAGAACACTCGTTCCTTGTACAAGACTCGGGGCTAATTTCGAGCCGGGCTAGATCCAGCCGGTCCTCGATCTATCCTCGTTATCGGAGGCAAACTCGCGAGTATCGGACAGGAACGCGATGTTATCCGGGCGATTAAAGGAGAGCCGCGGAGCGTAGTAACTCATCGTTTGGGAAATCCGTGGCTGTAATTCCGTAATGAATTTCCCGCAACTTTCTCGACGTAGAGCGAACGCGGAAGGAGCAGCTGCTGGATACTGTAATATACGATCAGCAGGACTACATTCGCCACGTCGTTTTACACGAGGGATTAAGTTCCATATTTATCTTCGCGAAACCCCTGGTCGAACTCTCATATTCATAACGTTCGAGAGATATTTGCGGCGACTATCCGGTGAATAACGTCCTCGACCCTTAATTTAACAGCGTTCCTCGAGGCGCGTCCTCGCGAGCGTTCGAATGATGGCTCGAAGCCGTCTGGCTGGTATACTCGGAGAGGTAGAAACGAGAGGCGTTTTCGCGCATTACCGGGCCCCGATAATTGTCTGGCAAACGACAGTTAATATTCTTCGCCCTAATTTATCTCGGAAACCCGGATCGTTCCGTTTGCCGGCGAGGGCAGGGCGGTATTCCAGAAGCAGAAGCTTTCGCAGTCAGGGGTGTAATCCAGCAGTCTTGGGCTGGCACATTCGCGTGGCAGCGAGGGTGGTTGGGGTGTAATTTGCGGCTTGTAATACCGTGCCCGTCGTTTGTAACCTGTTCGGGATACGCAAGTACGGTTTCGGGGTGGAGAAGGAAAGCGAAAAGGGAGGCAGAAGGAGGAAACCGAGGTAACCGCATCGTCTCATCAGGGGGGGATGTTTTCCAGGTCTGAAACGGGCGAAACTGCTGCACGCTCGTTCCCTTGCCATCGGAAAATACATTTGTCTATTTGCTCGGCTTTCCGTGCTACACTCTTTTCGACGGCAGTCGCGCGACACGCGTTTTAATTGCTCTGTGCTTGT